GAGCAATGAATCAACTGCAAGAAAAATTAAGAAAACCATCCCATTCACAGTTTCCTCAAAAAAAAAATACTTGGGAATGATTCTAACAAAAGAGATGACAGACTTCTACAATGAAAATTACAGAACACTACAGAAAGAAATTGAACATGATCTCATAAGTTGGAAAGATTTCCCAGATCATGGATAGGCAGAGTTAATATAGACAGAATGGCCATATGACCAAAACTGTTATTTATATTTAATGCAATTCCTACTATAATCCTAATAACATTATTGAAAGAACTAGAAAAAGCATCATGAAATACATTTAAAACATAAGAGACCCAGAATGGACAAAAAATCCTTAGCAAGAAGAGTGAAGTAAAGGGCATCACAATACCAGAACTAAAACTATACTACAGAGCCATAATGAACACACACACACACACACACACACACACACACACACACACACACACTTAGAGAGAGAGAGCTAGAGAGAGAGAGTGAGAGAGAGAGAGACATATTCACATATTCCTCATGAACTTAATTCAATAGAGGGTAATATCTTCAAACACAAAATGATTTGAATACTAAATTTGTGCTGCACCAAGGCAGGAAAACATTATGTGCCAGAAGAGAGCCCTCATGACCTCTGGCCTCTCCTCCTCACACATATTTAGTAAAACACTTACCATATACCTTAAAAGGTCTTTTCTAAATATTAAGTAACTCACATGACTAACGCCCAGTTACTATTCTGGTTGCAGATAGAGACAAATAAGGACATAGCATAAATAAGGAAATAAGGCAATAAATAAGGGGAAAATCATATTAGCCTTGGTTGTTTCATCATCTTAGCCAAATACAGGTCTTGAAAAAAGATGAAATTATATAGTTTCATAGAGGTTTTACATACAAAAAGTATATAAAAGAGTTTGGGTTATGGTGAGATTATTACTGACAGCCTAACCCTGGGACCTGCCTTGATCCTATCTGGCTGGATTTGGCTGTCTGTCCACCTAATAAATAGATAGAAGATGGTAAAATGCATATTGAACTTGATGCCATTTGATCAACCTGGGAGGAAGCAGTTAGATTGCTTCTCCTTACCTATCCCACAGACAAAATTATAATTTACAGAAATAAAAGCCAGGTGATATACATGTGTATATTTGGTTGATCTCAAGAGGGATCAATCTGGAAATAAAGCAGGAAATACGTATCTTAAAAGATCTGTTCTAAATATTTAAGTACTCAGATGACTAATTCCCAGTTATTATTTTGATTGCAGATAGAGATAAATGAGGACGTAGTTTAAATAAGGACAGTCCAGCCACATAAAATAGATCATACAGGTATGAGAAACATACAGCCCTTATCAACATGAATGGTTTATCTCCTTTCTTGTTCTCATTGACAACAGGTAAAAGTTTCATCTAGATAACATTCAGGGAGGCATCAGGCTGTTATAAGTGTAAATGAACAGGTGATTCACCAACTCAGTGATGTAAGGATGACATCATTATGGCATTTCCATTTTTTCATAATGGTGGCCCAGGTGGTTCCTCCCATGGGAAGCCTATCTTGACTTGCACTTTCTGAGTGAATTTCTCTGGGTATAGAGAGGCAGAGTAGTGCTCTGGAACGATTAGTGTATGAGGTTCAAAATCCACAATTCATAATTGTGATTATAAAAAAATTGCAGGCAAGATTACTTATCTAACTTAGCTAAGTGCACATTCTTCTCAGTTGGGTAAAACTTGATCTTGCTAATTTGGGGAACCAGGTGGTATCTAAGCTTTGGTGGATGAATGATGGGGTCTCATGGTTGAGAGTGCCAAGGAACATATCAGTTCCAGAGACAGTTCCTCATGGCATTGGAGGAGGTGTGTGCTGCACCTCAGTGTCACTGTGGATTGGCAGGGCTGCCTGTCTGCTGTGTTTAGGACATGTGCCAAATACCACCAACAAGCCAGTTAGAATCTTTGCCCTTATGAGTCTCAACCTTGATTAATGGTGAGGGATGCTAACCAAGTAAACACAAAAAAAAATATTAAATTACAAATTGAGATAATTATTATGAAATAAAAGAAACCTTTGCTGAAGTTCCCATCAGTTTTTGACACAGGAGACCTCTATTGTCAGGTTTTTGTTGCTGTGATAAGAGTTTAAGAATGAAATCAATATATGACCCAGCTATGCCTTCCTCCATATTTGTCCAATAGAATTAGCACACTGTAGCAGCACACACATATCTGTTCTTATGGCAGCATACTTCACAATAACAAAGTTTATAGAACCAACCTAGATGTCCATCAACAGATTACTGAATAAAAAAATGTGGTATATATATATATATATATATATATATATATATATATATATATATATATATATCTCAAATGGAGTTTTACTCAGCCATAAACACA